GGCACAAGTTGTACCACACTGTATCACATTACTTGTGAACATTTTATGCTGAGTTTACGACAGGAAAGTTTAAGGTTTCTTTATTTCAAGTTTGTTCAAAAGTTTCCTATTTTGGATTAAGAGGCCTGAAGGAAGCAAGAAATGTGAGAATTTTTAGGAATTGTAGTGGTATGTGAATGCAAACCTTGAGAAACAGGATAAAAACAAGCGTTGATTGGAGGTTTGAAAGTGAGTTTTTTGTTCTTACATGTTGAAGCATGACAGAAAGACAATCCATTTCATCAGGTGTACCTGTCTGATCAATTTAACTCTACACGGGAGAGTTTTAGTCAAGATTAGGTGTCCTAAATAAGATAACGTAAAATGCAGTTATGGCAGGAATGTAACAAGAACTTTTTACCTCTTCTTCTTTTTTTTTTAAACACAGAGCAAATAGCAACGCACAGGCATGAGACATTTGGTATGATAGTTCAGAAAGCTTGACAATAAACTCAAGCATAATGCATCAAAACACACCAAACAAGGCATTATTAAGGTTGGTTAAATGAGCAAATATTTTTAATAGAGAAAACACCCACTTTTTTCTTTTTTTTTTTTTCGCTGCTTCTTCACCCTCTTGTTTATCACAAAAACAACTGGGATACCACTACCTTTCAACATGAACTGTGGGGAGAAGAGGTCTAATGGGATTCAGATTAAAGTCAGTGGATCAATGTTTCTGCTTGAAACCATAAGTGGGTTTCATCCCTTGAAAATATCTCACTTAAGTCTCCTTTCTCCCCAAATCCATACTTGTTGTATCCTACATTTAGTTGTTTGGAACAACAATGCTTGAACTGTAATGTAGCCAAACAGCTGCTGCATCTGTCCAATGAAAACCAGACCTGTAGTTCCAACATGCTGTCTTGCTCCTGTAAGAGGAAAAGCATATTCTGACTCTTTTTTTTATTTTTGGCTCTGCTGTTAGCACATTACCCTAAAGTGATCAGCAACAACATGAATTAAAATTAATGAATGAATGCACGCTCCCTGCTGCCTTGCATTTTAAAAGTTTTTAACGAAGCTCTCACTTGATTTGTTAGAATAAGTTGGGAATGACTCACAGTCATTCACCACAACAAATGTTATCTTAATATCTGCAACACTGACTGACTTAAAATTATCCTCATGTTTAAGGTCAGTTAGATGTGGAGATCAGTTCGAATTGTGTTGAAGTGTAATCAGATGAAGATTTGACTATTTTCTCAGAGTTTTATTAAAAATCTGTCTGCTGGTTGGCAATATATTTGGCGAACAGACATCACTCATTTGCAATTACATAATCACACACCTTTAATGATAATGGGTAATAACTATTAAGTAATAAAGTGATTAAAATTGATCATCTCAAAATAACAGTGTGATAATTGGAATATCACTGATAGACTGACGATCTTCCATGAAAACTACCCATCCTGATGCTGACACCCCTCCTGAACAATACTTCGTCTGAACTGGAGAGTGCCCAAGAAGGCATCAAATTTGCAGAAATGTAAACAATTCTTTTGGCTGCAGAAGATGTTCATATCAGTCCTTCTCAGAAAGACTGAGCCAGCCAGTTTTAGTCAAATTTAGACTCCTTTCTGTTGGAAATGTGCTTTCTGTGTTTATGGCACAGTACAGTAAGCTGAGAACAGCATCAAAGTCTTCATGACTTTATGTAACGCTGCTTCACACCCATCCCTTCTCCAAAGTGCCAATCTGGTGCCGTGGTACGTGTATCTTGCTGGGAGCAGCAGGTGGTGGTAAACAGGTATGCTGTGAGGCCAGTCAGACAGACAGACAAAACAAATGACTCTTCAGCCCCTTGAATCCTCGTGTCTTGTGACTGTGAGCGCACAGTCTGAGCCAAAGACTCGTTGTTTCTTTGTGTTGACACAGTCCACGCTTGACGAGAACATGAGGGGAAGAGAGGTACACAAAAATGCAAAACATGGAAACGCCAGCTAATCCAGTTCCATCCCTCCGTATCAAATAACCGCAAAGTGATCTCAATATAAATGTGTCTTTTAGCCTCAATAAAGCATCTTATTAAAACAAACTGAGCAGCAGTGCCAATCAGCATATTTTTCACAGTGTGTCAGCACCCCTATATGACAGGTTTCTGTCAGCTGAGCCCAGTCATGACAGTCTGCCATACAAAAGCCGTTTCAGAACAAAGAAGTCCTCACAGGTACCACTTAGTGTGTTGCTATGGTGGCGGCAACGTGTTTAGAACAGATAGCTGGCCTTATAGGACGACAAACGCTGTTTTTCTGGCCGTCTGGCTGGGCTGCTAGCAGTTAGTGGCTGACCCTGTTTATATATACTAGATGCCAGTGTGAGCTGGCCTTAACTCTCACCCCATGCTAAACAGTGTAAACCACTGTCGGCTGAGGCTGTGGTTTGCTTTGGTCCGTATTTTCCTCAAGGGGGAAGTGGGCATAGCAGTCTGATGTACTGTACACGCTGATGTCTGCTTATTTGTGGAGGTTTACAACAGAATCTGGTTGTTTTCACAGCTTGATTGTTGGTTGTAATGTACGGACGGTTAGAAATATTTCAGAATGCCATTCAAACTCAAGGCCCGCGGGCCAGTTATGACCATTGATGCAATTTTTTTGGGCCCATGTTAACATTTTAAATGTCTATAAAGGGGCACACCAGTATGTAGTGGACTAAAGTCTTTTCACTACTTATTTTAATGATTTTTCTTTACATTCAAAATTTAATATACGCTTTGGGAAAAGGTATATTTCAATACGAATATTGTGACATATTACCTGAAAAACAATTTACATGTTTTTCACTCTCAATACTTATCGATGTAGCTTTGACCGAGGACCACAATTTGAGTTTTAGTCCTTGTAACTAAGTTTAACCCACCTGCTTTGAGAGACCTGAAGGCCACAAACTGTAAAGAAACACAAAATATGATTATTTTTAAATAAAAAAGTTCAAAAACATTGGTTATGGGTAATTTGTATAGTTTTTTTTTGTTTTGTTTTGTAGTTCAGTTTAAATGGATAAATCAGTTTTCATATCAATCTGTAGCAATGCAATGAATGAAACATTACACACAGGAAAGAATAGTGAGCGTTTCAGAAGTTTGTGAATGTGTATGAACATCGAAGTCAATTTTATTTAAAAACAAGAAAGTTGACCAAAGTGCTGTACAAGCTAGCCTGGTAAAAACCAGACCATTGTCCTTCACTTTGCTTTATACAGAGGGTCTGGACTCTCAGCTATAGAGAAGCGATTCTTGCTGGAGGCGTGGCCTCTGCTGAAGTTTAAAATGATTCGATCGGTTGGCCATGACGTATGTCGCTGTGAAGGAGGCTAAGCTAAGATGCTAACCGGAAATCGTGTGCACTGTAAACAACCCTACTGAGAGGAGAGAAGTACCGAGCCAAACCAGACTACTGCAGGCTTTGTCAAACAAATTTAATTTAATTTAGAAGCCTTATCAACACGGACTGGCTTCATTCACTTCCTCCACCGCCATTGCTAACTTACTAGCAGACACTGCGCAGAACATCGACGTCATTCAAAACTCCGCCTTCTGTTTGTTGATTGGCCCAGGTAAAATAAACTACAAGCAGACACTAAAATCGACATTGTGTTCTCTGATTGGTCCGGACAAAAATTCTCCTGAAGAAATCCTTGTCTATGGGGGAAATCCCAGAGGGAGCAGTGAAGGAAAACTAGAATTGAGCTGAGCTGCGTAGGAAGGCAAGGGCCAGGCTATGTACAAGCTAACAAATTAAGTAAACATAAGGGACTGGAAAACTACAACTAGAAATCACCAAAACATAAAAGATGTTGATGGAATTTAAACTGAAAGTAAATAAAAGAGTTTTAGGCTGAATTTCAAAGACCCTGCAGTGTGAATATAAGGGGCAGGTTTCAAAGTCTGGGGGCTATTGCTGCAAAAACCCAATCCCCTCTGCGCCTCACAACATTTGGCCTCTGAAATTGTTTATTATTATGTTTTGTTTTGTTTTTTTTTTTTTTTTAGATTCATTTTTCTGGTAGAAACCCACATCTAACTCCATATAATGACTCACTCTTTAACATTCATCAGATTTCTTTGATCCTGCCTAACAGGGGTTGTCTTTTCTCCTGACAAAACAGCATACTTCGACACATTTTTCTTTGCAAAAAAATCGTCTTCCTCTCGACAGGCTGAGGTGGTGGTGCGACTAACAACAGTTGCCCTGTTTTTGCGCTTTCTGACTCAAAACAGGAGTCGAGCCTCCTGTTCATCACAAGCTTTAGAGTTTTCGAAACCTCAGTTTAAAACAACTGTTTAACAAAGAGGGAAATGTATCAGCAGGGCCGCTTGTGGTGTTTTTCAGCAATTGTGGTTTAATTGAGGCTCAGCTTTTTAAAGTACTGCTTCCTTTCAAATTTGCACAGCTGACTGAATGAGCCAGTTTTTAAGAGTTTTCAGTGTAGGTTGCTACATGTCAGAGTGGGCTGATTTATTGTGATGTTTTTCAGTAATTAGTCAGTTCTGTCTATTTGTGGAGCTCAGAGTCCACCCGTTTCTGAACTGGCAGTGCCTGAAAGCAGCTTTTTAAATGTTAAACAGTTATTTTTTTATAATAAAACTTTAAGTGTTATTAAAAACAGGTGCAAAAGCAACTTGTTCATATGGCCACATCTTTGCTTGAGACTAACCAACAGATTGGTTTCTAACTTTCTCTTTCCTTTTTTACCCTCCCTCGGCCTCCCCAAACAACCCCCTTGGAGTTTCTTTTTGCCCCAGTCCCTTTACACCAAAATTCACTCTGACACAACTAAAAATTCATTTTGTCTGACCTAAATCAGAGGGTGTCTGCGCCATGGGCTTATTACACACCGCGCTTAAACTTGTGTTGTGGAGGAGGATGGGGTATTATTATCTTCCAGCTACCCACCCTGCTATAAAAACTAGTGGTGCGACATCTCCACAGCGCAGTGCTGCTGCCCTCCCTCCCTTTCCTCTCACTCCCTCGCTCTCGTCCTACATGAGCCGCGCGCACAACCTGACTCGAAACTCCACACCATTCACTCTGCAACACAGACGGACCCAAAAGACTCGCACTCTGCTCTCCTCCACTGGATATTCCTCCATGGGTGCTTCTTTTTTTTCTTCTTCTTCTTTTTGAATTTTTGTGAATGGGTATCTGTGTCTAGAGCGAGGAGCTTTGTGAATGGACTGACTGACAGACACAGACGAGGAAACAGAGCTGTGCTTCAATTAAACAGAGCGATGCTGAGAGGTCAAGTGAGGAGCAGCGGAGCCTCTTAGTAGTCTGGAAATACAAAGGCACGTGAGGGGAATCGTGACGCTGAAAGGAAAGGTAGGTGATGGCTGCTGAGAAGCTGTGGAATGTCAGGGAACGTATCAAGACTTGCGTAAGTTTATGTGTACGCAAGACTCTTAGGTGTGTTTGTCTATATGTCTATAATAATTTGTCAAAGTGTTCCAACACGCGCATGCTTGTGAACAAGCTTACACTTGTGCGTAATGTTAAAGTGAGCACATGTGCCTTCCTTCCTGTTTGCATTCCACTACAAAAAGGTGCAAATGGGTCAGTAAAATTACTAAACCACTCCTGGATTGTGCCCACTGCAGCGTAAATATTATGGTCTAAAATTCAAAAAATTGCCATGGGTATTTTTAGCACCTAGGAAAAAATGCCCAAAAATAGTAGTTCCAGAGGAGTTAAGTGTGTGTTTTGTGTTGTGGTGTAATTACACATCTCACTTTCCATATTTATGTGATATTTTCTCAGTGAGATCCAAAAACAAACACTCAGGTAACTCATGAAGTAAAAGAGGATGTTTGGGAGCATGGACAAAACAAAAAACATGTTATGGATTTGAGGCTAAGCTGTAAATTATTGTTTACAAGCTGCATCTTATAGACTTCTTACATCATGTCACAAAAAAGCAGCGAGCAGATCAGAAATGTTTACCGTTTGTTGTTTTCATTCATTCGCTTGGAGTCAAACTACTTTACAGACATCAGAAAACTGTAAATAAAAATATGAACGCATGAAGTATTTAGATTCAAACTATCAGAAAATTTACTGTAACATAGATCAGTTATATATTAGGGTTATGTTTGTTTATTATCATATTTTTACTCTGATTTAAGACTTTTTCCTGTTGGCGTAAACTAAAAGATGAAAAAAAATTTAAAAACAATGTTCTTCAGAAAATCAGACGTATGTCAAATCGCCTTTGTACTGATTACAAGAAAAATACAACATTTTTTATATAGACTCAAATGATTAAATGTGGTCTTCTTATTCCAACTGCATGTATTTTCAAATCATTGTAATACAGCATAAGTTTTCCATTCTACCCTTTTTTCATAGTGGAGTTTTTTCACATATCAGGAAAAAAGACAAGTATATATAT